TCGACGTTAACATGGTTAAACGTGAGTTTTACTGATGCGGGAGGCGGCTGGTCAGCTGGTTCACCAGAAGAAAACTCCCTTCAGTAGTTGTCATCTACTCATGGTCACACCTTCTCTCACTTCCAGTCGTTGACTCGGTGTGTGGCTGCTTTGAGCCACGCACCTTCCCAGGTCAGACACAGCCCATGACGGCCGGCAGCAGGGTCACGCTTTCCTACAAAACACCCGTAGAGCTGCATTTGTAAAGCTGGAACGATAAAGCTGCTCAAGTTTCTCTCCACAGAGTATTTCTCTTTGTTAACTTGTCTTTCAGTAAGTAAGCTAGTGCCGCATTTTTATCCAAGTTGCTGCAGTTTGTTCTGAAGGCAGCTTATCAGGTTTGTGGTGTTGAACGCAGCTCTGCCTTTGTGGTCACGTTTAAAATACGTCCCAACCAAGGTGACACGTTAGCTCAGCTGTAGCCTGCTAGCTAACAGCTACATGTTCTGGTGTCTACATTTTCCGCCAGTCATAAATTGTGTTGTCGTCTCTGGAAGACGGGACATCGATATCGAGGAACTTGTTCAATGTTATGGTTAACTGGTTTAATCTGGTTTTTTCCACCCTATTCCCGTGTCGGCATCAGATCGGCTCGGGTCCTGTGGTTGCTGATGACGTCACATTACGGCAAACCCACTCAGCTTTCACACGTAAGTTTCGGAAGGCATCAGCAGGTTTGTTATTAACTTTTTGTTTGTTGCCACCTAAATGTTTCTTTATAACTATAATTTGTTAATAAACCACCAAATAATCTCAGTTTTGTGAAGAATGAGCAACTTCACAAACCAACATCAGACAGTTCTGATATGTGAAGCCACATCTGTCTGTACTAATGTGGAATTTGTCTGTTTAATTCCTTAGTTGTAATGTAAATTCGTTCTTTCATTCATTCATTCATGCATTCATTCATTCAAAATGCTGCTTGCTGTCTTTTCAATAAAGTTCTTATACTTTATTTTGCCCCATTTCATCAAAACCCTGAGCTTTTGAGGGTCGCCGTTTATCTGTCAGTATCTTTGCTTTTAGTTTACGTTTCCTTTGGAAATTAAAACATATTTTCCCTGAAAAGTGTTGATTTTTGGACTACATGACTGCAACCGCTAAGACTACAACCGCTAAGACTGCAACCGCTAGGAATACAACCGCTAAGACTACAACCGCTAAGACTGCAACTGCTAGGAATACAACCGCTAAGACTACAACCGCTAAGACTGCAACCGCTAGGAATACAACCGCTAAGACTACATCCGCTAAGACTACAACCCCGCTAAGACTACAACTGCTAGGAATACAAGCGCTAAGACTACAACCTCTAGGACTATAAGCGCTAAGACTACAACCTCTAGGACTATAAGCGCTAAGACTACAACCTCTAGGACTACAACTGCTAAGACTACAACCGCTAGGACTACAACTGCTAAGACTACAACCTCTAGGACTACAACCTCTAGGACTACAAGCGCTAAGACTACAACCTCTAGGACTACAACCGCTAAGATTACAACCTCTAGGACTACAACCGCTAAGACTACAACCGCTAAGACTACAACTGCTAGGACTACAACCGCTAGGACTACAACCGCTAAGACTACAACCTCTAGGACTACAACTTCTAGGACTACAAGAGCTAAGACTACAACCTCTAGGACTACAAGCGCTAAGACTACAACCTCTAGGACTACAACCTCTAGGACTACAAGAGCTAAGACTACAACCTCTAGGACTACAAGAGCTAAGACTACAACCTCTAGGACTACAAGAGCTAAGACTACAACCTCTAGGACTACAAGAGCTAAGACTACAACCCCGCTAAGACTACAACTGCTAGGAATACAAGCGCTAAGACTACAACCTCTAGGACTATAAGCGCTAAGACTACAACCTCTAGGACTATAAGCGCTAAGACTACAACCTCTAGGACTACAACTGCTAAGACTACAACCGCTAGGACTACAACCGCTAAGACTACAACCTCTAGGACTACAACCTCTAGGACTACAAGCGCTAAGACTAAAACCTCTAGGACTACAACCGCTAAGACTACAACCTCTAGGACTACAACCGCTAAGACTACAACCGCTAAGACTACAACTGCTAGGACTACAACCGCTAAGGCTACAACCGCTAGGACTACAACCGCTAAGACTACAACCGCTAAGACTACAACCTCTAGGACTACAACCTCTAGGACTACAAGAGCTAAGACTACAACCTCTAGGACTACAAGCGCTAAGACTACAACCTCTAGGACTACAACCTCTAGGACTACAAGAGCTAAGACTACAACCTCTAGGACTACAAGCGCTAAGACTACAACCTCTAGGACTACAACCTCTAGGACTACAACCACTAAGACTACAACCTCTAGGACTACAACCACTAAGACTACAACCGCTAAGACTACAACTGCTAGGACTACAACCGCTAAGGCTACAACCGCTAGGACTACAACCGCTAAGACTACAACCGCTAAGACTACAACCTCTAGGACTACAAGAGCTAAGACTACAACCTCTAGGACTACAAGAGCTAAGACTACAACCTCTAGGACTACAAGAGCTAAGACTACAACCTCTAGGACTACAACCGCTAAGGCTACAACCGCTAGGACTACAACCGCTAAGACTACAACCGCTAAGACTTCAACCTCTAGGACTACAACCTCTAGGACTACAAGAGCTAAGACTTCAACCTCTAGGACTACAACCTCTAGGACTACAAGAGCTAAGACTACAACCTCTAGGACTACAACCTCTAGGACTACAAGAGCTAAGACTACAACCTCTAGGACTACAAGCGCTAAGACTACAACCTCTAGGACTACAACCTCTAGGACTACAAGAGCTAAGACTACAACCTCTAGGACTACAAGAGCTAAGACTACAACCTCTAGGACTACAAGAGCTAAGACTACAACCTCTAGGACTACAAGAGCTAAGACTACAACCCCGCTAAGACTACAACTGCTAGGAATACAAGCGCTAAGACTACAACCTCTAGGACTATAAGCGCTAAGACTACAACCTCTAGGACTATAAGCGCTAAGACTACAACCTCTAGGACTACAACTGCTAAGACTACAACCGCTAGGACTACAACCGCTAAGACTACAACCTCTAGGACTACAACCTCTAGGACTACAAGCGCTAAGACTAAAACCTCTAGGACTACAACCGCTAAGACTACAACCTCTAGGACTACAACCGCTAAGACTACAACCGCTAAGACTACAACTGCTAGGACTACAACCGCTAAGGCTACAACCGCTAGGACTACAACCGCTAAGACTACAACCGCTAAGACTACAACCTCTAGGACTACAACCTCTAGGACTACAAGAGCTAAGACTACAACCTCTAGGACTACAAGCGCTAAGACTACAACCTCTAGGACTACAACCTCTAGGACTACAAGAGCTAAGACTACAACCTCTAGGACTACAAGCGCTAAGACTACAACCTCTAGGACTACAACCTCTAGGACTACAACCACTAAGACTACAACCTCTAGGACTACAACCACTAAGACTACAACCACTAAGACTACAACTGCTAGGACTACAACCGCTAAGGCTACAACCGCTAGGACTACAACCGCTAAGACTACAACCGCTAAGACTACAACCTCTAGGACTACAAGAGCTAAGACTACAACCTCTAGGACTACAAGAGCTAAGACTACAACCTCTAGGACTACAAGAGCTAAGACTACAACCTCTAGGACTACAACCGCTAAGGCTACAACCGCTAGGACTACAACCGCTAAGACTACAACCGCTAAGACTTCAACCTCTAGGACTACAACCTCTAGGACTACAAGAGCTAAGACTTCAACCTCTAGGACTACAACCTCTAGGACTACAAGAGCTAAGACTACAACCTCTAGGACTACAACCTCTAGGACTACAAGAGCTAAGACTACAACCTCTAGGACTACAACCGCTAAGACTACAACCGTAAATTCGTCCTGACCAATCAAACTCTTCGTCATCAATGTGCCCACGTAGCATTTACGAGCGTGGTATCGTAACTTCTGTAAGTCTTACGTTCAGCCAATCATCTACTGTGAGGTAACTGGCAGACGCAGGACCCCGAGCAGATCTGGTACCAACACCGGATCCTTTGGACCGATCACCCGTTTCTCTGGTGATCTCTCTTAGGAGGTCTACGATCACGTCCCATCCTGGACCTTGGTTCATTGTGCTCTGAGGACATTTCTGTCCCTAACAAGAACTATTTTTTTCAGATTAGCTCAAACTATGTTTGTTTCTGCAGCTCGTCATGAGCTTAAAGACTCAGGAGCTATAAGTGAAGGAGCTGGACTCCCTAAAGACCTCCATGTCCCGCTGGTTTCTGACACCTTGGATGGGTCCGGGAAAAGCTGAACCAGTGACATCATCATCTAATTATCTCTGTCTGTTCTGTTTAAACATCAGTGAACATGAATGTGCCTCAACAGTCGGATGAGATCAAAGCGTGAAACTGAAGCCAGCACTCAGACGGCCACGGTGCTGTCGGCTCAGAATCCATCCAGCTGACCTCTGACCTCACACACTTCCTCAGACATCACAGGGAGAACAGCTGAAGGATATGAGTGGACCAGGATCCTGATGGCGAGTCTGCGGATGGGATGGAACGGGCTGAACATGTAGAGTGCAGATGTGGCGCTGAACCGGAAGATGGCCTTCCCTTTGTTCAGCACTATGAACGTCTGCAAGGAAAACCAGACAGAAACACGTTAACAACATCCGAGTCATTCCCACACGGAGAGGAGGGCACGGCAGCCGCCAGCGTCCCAGACTCACGTCTCATTACTTTACTTAGACAACAGGAGCCTCCTGCTGCTGTGCTCTAGCTGCACCTGAAGGGTTCTCACACAGCAGCAGAGACCGGGTCCAGAACCAGGACCAGAACAGGCAGTGGTCTGCTAAAATGTCCAATAGGCTCTTCAGAGCAGGAGTTTTAACATTCTTCCTGTTTGTCATCATTCTGTTTTCCAGAGATCCCGTGTCCACATGGCATCTTTCCCTGAAACACTTTATTCTCTTCAAACTAGACCTTGTTTTCTATTATTCAGAAACATTTCATATCAAATTTAGGTAAAAACATCTCTTTTCAGTTTTATCTAGAAAACCTGTTAAGATTTTTATCTAATTTTATTTTACATCACACCAAATACTAGTTCGGGTCTCAGGAGGTTAAAGATGTGGACCAGAGGCAAAAGTACAAAACCTCAGATGAAAAAGGGTTTTGGATTTTTGAGAAAATCTGATGTTTTTGACTAAACAGAGACTAACTTCTGGTCTAAGCCCTGGGCAGCTGGAGGCGCTCTGCTGGATCAGCTGTAGTAAACAACCCGACTCCGGTGCTTCTGCGTTAGCGTTAGCAGAACGAAGTGTCATCAGTCAGATGTAGCTTCTGAAGCCTCTGCTAGTCGGTCACATTAGTTTTCCTCTGGGATACGGCGACCAGAACGGATACCGGAGAAGTTCAACCCCGACAGCTGGATATCACTACCGGAGGTGCAGACATGTTTTAGACCGTTTGACTCAGAAGACCCGATTAGGACACCGGGGAGGATTCTGTTCGTCTTCAGAACCAAAATCGATTCAGTTTGTTAACTTTTGGAAAATATTTCATCTCTGCGCTCCACCAGGAGCTCTCAGCCGACTCCAGCTCTTAGCTCCATCATCTGTCCCAATATAATTCAGTAATCTACAGATAAATAAATAATGTGCTGCCAGTTCTACCGCTGCGTGTGTGTGTTGGTGCAACTCTGGTAATATTTCAACGACAGCTTACCAGAATAAATCTTCCTGAAGCTGGAGTAACTCGTTAGTTTGACTCGTTTACACTAATCCAGAATGGCACAGAGGTTCTACCGGTCCCAGGAGTATTAGATTTGTGTGTGTGTGTGTGTGTGTGTGTGTGCGTGCGTGCGTGCGTGCGTGCGTGCGTGTGTGTGTGTGTGTGTGTGTGTGTGTGTGTGTGTGTGTGTGTGTGTCATAGCTTTCCCAAGTGACTTGTTTTTCCTTACCGGAGCCAAGTTATTTAAGACCTGTTATTTAAAAATGTGTGTACACACAAACATGCACACATAGTGCATACACTAGTCGACCATCAAGTAATGAAAATCGAGTTGACTACGACTAGTCGCTGATGACGTCACACACCTGAAGCGCACGGAAGAGGGGGGGGGGGGGGTCGCTGCAGTTTTTGACAATTAAAATTGCGCCCACATTTTCAAAGTTAAACATTTCTTTTAACAACAGTAGTTTCTGCTTCAGCCCTCTCCCCCCTCCCCCTGCTTCTCCCCCCTCCCCCCTCCCCCTGCTTCAGCCCTCTCCCCCCTCCCCCTGCTTCAGCCCTCTCCCCCCTCCCCCTGCTTCAGCCCTCTCCCCCCTCCCCCTGCTTCGGCCCTCTCCCCCCTCCCCCTGCGCAGCGGCCGCAAACTCACTGATGCGCCTGCAGCCTCTCGGAGTTCCTGCTGCTCTAAACATTAAAATAATTATTTCATTTTCTGTTCCTCACTTCTGATGACCTTCAATGGTGTCTGTTTGTTGCAACCAGCAGGTACAAAAACTAACTTGTTTTTATTTGACTATTTTTCTGTCCTGCCTGTTTATTATCTTCCTGCATCTCCTCTCAGTCCTAAAGAGAAACTGATGCCTGGGTTCATATATATTCACCTCATGAGTTACCTTTGAACTGCAGTTCTAAAAGATCTACCGACCGCTAAAACAGCGGAGTGCTCGCTGCTTGGTGGCCGCATCAGTGATCAGTTCGTCACCGAGGACAAGGTGATGCGCCCTGATCCACAGCAGCGAAACGCATCAGGCACAAATAAAAGAATAAAAGACAGAAAACATAAAAGGAAATGAGCCGACATGAACGATCGCGTGTTAAATTAGTTTTTGAGGTGGCGACACATGATTTGATAATGTTACTGTGGCCGTGCTCAGGACGCAGATGTCTGGAGCGCGTCAACAATCAGAGCTTTGCATGTGCAAGCTGGTTAAGGTTAGGATGGGGGTGAGGGGAAGGTTAAATTGCAAGAGGGTAAAGGTCACAATTTGTTTAAATGTCCGTTTTACGGCGGGTGTCAGTACCGACGCTCTGGCACAGCGTGTCGCCTCCCGACGCACAGGAGCTTGTCACCTGCTGTCATTTCCGAGGGCTGCATCTTGTCGGTCATTATCACGTGACAGCGACTAGTCGATGACAGGCATAAAAAGTCACTATAGAGCAGTGAAGTCGACTAGTTCATACAACCCCTAACACACACATGCACTCACTCACACACCCTTGCACACACACATTTGTGCACACGCACACATGAACACACGCACATACACATGCATATTAACACGCACACCTCCTCTTCCAGAGTTAGTTTGAAGTTTACATACTGACATTAATTCAAAGAAGGTTGAGTTAGCATTCTAGCTAGGTTGGTGTGCTAAGCTAACTGAGCAGGCTGCACCAACCTACAGTGCATGCTGGGAACTGAACTCAGGTAAATAAAACTCATTAAAATTCAAATGTCAGAAGTAAAGAGAGGAAAGTAAAGCTGTTCTTTAGAATAAAACAAGGAATTAAAGAGTAAACCAAAGTCCTGCAACCTGGGACGTAATTTTAGGGGGGGACGGGTGGGACATGTCCCCCCCACTTTTTCAAAAGGCAGTTTTGGTCCCCTGCACTTTTTTCCGTCCAAAAACAATGTTACGCTCCATTAAATGGATTTGGTTGAGCACTAGGACCGAAACGGAAACCGGTTTCCTATTAGACCCGCCCAAAAGCTAATCTATTGGCTCTGCTGATACTTGCTAACGTATTATTGGCTGTTGCTGCTGTCACTCCAAGTTGTAAACAGAACGTGCTCACGTTGTTTTGCTAGTTTGGAGCCGCTAGGGAACACCGGTACTGAGTCACATCGTCAACTAGACGCTGTGTAATATCAGAGCTCAGCTCAGCTTCCACTACATAACATTTGAATAAGTGTTCATTTGTGAGTCTTTGGTAGTTAGGCACAGCCAGGAGGCAGCATGTCAAGAAAACGAAAAGTGGATATAAGAGACTTCTTTCAAAGTCTAAACGTAAGTTGGACATGTGACACCCCTGCATTAAGCTCAGACTCACCTCCTCCTTCACAAACATACTCAAAACTAACTTTTACAAACTCATCTCCTCCACATAACTGACTCCTCAGACACAATTTATTCGTATTATTATAATTATTTTTTTATTATTATTACTAGTAGTAGTAGAAGTGTAACTTCAAAACTTTTATCATTTAACTTTATTGTAAACTTATCTATTGCAATGTATATGTTCACATTAAAAAGCTCTGAAAAATGAACAGTATCATCATCGTCAACAGATTTTTTTAAGCTTAATGTCAAAGATGTACACTTTTCATTAGATTTATCTTATTTTTTCCATTTATTTTTTGTGTGTTGAAATGCAACAACTGTTTAAACACTTTTAAGGGAAAAAACATATTTAATATGTTTTTATACACTCAAATGTTAGGGTGATGATCATGTGTAAAACATTAGTTCAGCTTGTCCTCTAACACAGCAAATGAACAAACGGCCAGATCTCAGGAGGGACCGTTTATGTATAAATAATTTTTATACTTTTGACTAGGCCTGGGAAAGTAACACATTTTGCTGGACGATATTTTGTCCAACAAATTGTTGATGATAAACGATATCATTGTCAACATGATCTAGACCAAAATAACCACTAATATAATGTTAATATATCATAATAATGCAAGTACACCTTTTAAAATGCAACAAATAAACCTTCATTTAACATTGAAATGTCCAGAACCAGAACTTCTAAAAGAATAAAAATAACAAACAAAAATTCAATAAAAAAGGAATCTCACTCCCTGTTAGAAAATGTTGCACCAAAAACAATTAAAAAAGACCCAAAACAATAAATACAATGGCCTATCCATTGTCAACAGCCAAAACTGCACTTCAATAATGATAATAAATAAAAATAATAATAGAGTTGTAAATTTTTTAACTTTGATATATATATATATATATATATATATATATATAGAGGACGGAAAAATTATTGAGATGGGCACATGACGTGTCAAGGGGTCTTTACATAACACCCCCCACCCCAAATCCGCATAAGCCTGCTGTGTCCCCCCCACTTCTGAAATCAAAATTTCGTCCCTGCCTGCAACACCCACAACGCCAGATCTCCTTCTCTTCTATCGTAAACTGTATCTGGCTCCGACTCCCCAGAAGTCCTAGTGGTTTAGGCTGCAACAGCGTTTAAGAATGAAAAACAAAAATACTTTTATAAACTTTCCAGGTTTTACTGTGAATATTTAAGACTTTTATTTTGAAGGAATGTTTTCTGCTGTGAGAGAACCCCCGGTTCTTTGTAGAGGCTCTGACTCTGTACTAAGAAGCTGTGGTAAAGGTAAAGGAGGCGGACCCACCCTCTGGTCTCTGAAGTAGTACGGATCGATGTCCTCCAGGGGGACGCCCACCAGGTGAGATGGTATGTCGGCGAAGATGCGAGGCAGCTGTTTACCTGCCTCCAGGTCGGGCCGGGCCCGGACCAGCTCCACATTGCCCAGGTCCTTACAAACACACAAAATTCAACATGATCCTGAATAGCTGCAGGTGGTTCAGAGCACCTGTGCTCATTTTTTATCGTGTTACTGTGAAGCACCTTGTGGTTTTCATCTTGAGTCTCATTTTAAAAAGTCTGCAGGTGTGGGCGGAGCCTCAGTGTCTGTTGTAATGTGAGTTACGTGCTCACCTCCTGGTACTCCTTTTTGCGCCGGGCCTCCTCCTGGCTGATGCGCTGCTCAATGGCTGCCAGGGAGTCCGGCGTGAAGCGCTTAAAGCTCTCTGGTCCCATTGGAAACACATAGCCGGCCATCTTCTCATCCTGATCCTGCTGCTAACTGGCTGGTTTACCAG